GCAGCCGCCCGCCCTGCTCCCCGCGCGCCGTTTTGGTTTGCTTTTTTTTTTGTTATTTTTTTTCTCCCCTAAGTCTTGAAGTTGAGTTTTAGAGGCGACACGGCGGCTTCAGCCGATTTCTTCCCCTTCTTTTGCCTCCCCATGGATATGCACTGCAAGGCAGACCCCTTCTCAGCAATGCACCGTGAGTACTGGAGCCCGGCTCCTTCCGCTGCTCTCCCTCTGCTCATCCTTCCATCCCTCCTTCCCCAGCATYCTCCCTCACCTGAGCCTCCTTTGGCTCCAGCTTTTCCGCCTCCGGGCTTAGGGAGGCGCCGCGAGGGGCCCGGGCAGCCCGCGGAGGCGCGGCGGGGACGGCGCGAAGCGGCGCAAACGGCGCCGGAGCGGCGCACTCCTTCCCGCAGCGGCTCCTCGCGGGTCGGGGCACGCGGGGCCCTCCCGGCTCCCGCGGCAGAGCCGCCTTCGGGCCGCTTCTCCTGCCGCCCTCGGCGCCGCTGCAGCCCCGCGGGGGCAGCGCTGCCCCCGGCTGCGCCGTGCCCGGCTCCCCGCTGCAGCCAGGGCAGTCTCGTTAGGTTCAAACTAGCGGCGGGTCGGGCAGCGCTGGAGTTTGCTCGAAGCTCGGGCTTCAACCCGAGCAATTGCAGTGCCAGGAATCGAATCGCGCCGTTTTCGGAGGTTGCCGAAACGGCCCGGCCCGTGCGGCGCTCGCCGCACCCCTTCCGATGGGCATCTGACCCGCGCGCTCGGCACACGGGAGCCGCGGGTCCTCTCGCAGCTACGGGGACATTTCCAGCGCAGGGCAAGGCGGAAAGCGCCCAGGTAGCGCAGGAAGGACTGTCACAGGGATTTCAATTTCGCTGCACCGAAAAAAAAATTCTCCCAGCTTTAAATCGAAGAAAATACAAAAAAGCCGAGATTGAGAGCACATTGACTCAGGAAATGAATAATTAAGAGCAATTTGTAACTTTTGACACCGAAACTTTTGAGGACCCGCCCTACCCTGTGCATAAAAACAAACCGAAACGCTTCCGTTAAAATTAAAGACTTATTTTAAAATAAAATGTTTGAAGTCTATAAAATTACGATTTTGTCGGGTGAGGGAAGGCGCAGAAATACA